AAAAAGCTTAATTTTTCTACATACATTGTGAAGCTTTTTATGCTGATTGTTACACTTTCAGTAACGGAAACATATAACCCATTTTAAAACAATAGTTTTATGGTCGGTTGTTACTCTTTAAGTAGCGGATGCAATCTTTACTTTTTTATCAGTTCCAAAATGTAATAGGCAACGTGTAACTTCATTCTGGAACCCAATTTTGATCGTAAAATGTGGAAAAAGCTTTATTTTTCACCTTAATTCATTAATGTTCTTAATTATGTCGGTCGTTACACTTCCAGTAGCGGATGCAATCTGTACTTTGTTGTTAGTTCCAAAATGCAATAGGCAACGTGTAACTTCATTCTGGAACCCAACTTTATCTTAAAATGTGGAAAAAGCTTTATTTTTCACGTAAACAGTTAAGGCTTATTTTTTTGTCGGTCGTTATACTTTCTGTAATGGATGTAATGTTTACTTTTTGACCAGTTCAAAACTGTTATAGGCAACGAATAGCTTTGTTTAAAACTCGGTTGTGGTTCTAGAAGCTGGAATCAGATTTTGTCTTCATACAAAATATTTAAGTCATTGTTATGTTGGTAGATCGACTCTAAGTAAACTCGCCCCAAAAAGTCAAGGAACAACTTGTGTTTTCACCTATCAAATTTAAACTTCAATATCTCACTTGGCACACGCACTGACGACTAGACACAGTTTGCATGTACAGCAAATTTACCCGCACCAGCTTCACAGTGACGGTGGAGGGCATTCTAAAACACGGCCGAAAAACATGACAAATTGGAGAAATTTCTCTACTTCAGCAACATTGGCATAGGGACTGTTAGCTAAAACTAAGCTAGGCACGTACTAAACAGATTTAGCAGTGAATATTGCTCACTTACAACCCTTTATAAGCCAAGGTTTTTCAACCATGTTTCTTTACAACACGAAGGTCCAACGACGCTCGCTGCCTGACGTCGACAGAGAAAGAGCCCTTGCCTGGCTCCAAGATGGCTTCACGTTCCCAGTCGTTTGTCCCCATTAGTCATATAGAGGCTGTATAGAGGCTGTAAGAAAGATGGCGAGCGACCGGAAGGGTCCAGGACAGGCCTCAACCAGGGCGCCATGTTTGACCATCGACAGCATTGACCGGTTCATCGTCAGACAGGCCGTGACGTCACGAACCACAACTGCAAACGGCATCAGGAACCAACTTCGG